TTCGACGAAACGTAGCGATTGGCTTTGGTTGCACGAGTATTAAGTAGCACAGCATCCGATTTCCACTAGATCCCGGCGAACGTCGGTTGTACTTTACACCGTGGTCCGATTGCGCTTCGTCCGTGATTCCCATGCCGTGCAAGTGCCATTAAAGTGAAAATACACCTCGAGATAATTAGCGCGTGTCGTCGACACGGCTGCTGGACAAATAACGCACAGAATTACTTCTCGTCTCGTTAAATATCAAGAAACACGCGAATAAATGAACGGCGATACGCGACGCAACGGTTCACCGAAACGGAATATTCGCCACTCGCCCGCTTCGACATACTCTCCACGGATGAATCACAGGTCCAGGCGCGATAAACTTTTTCTTCTGGAAACGATCAAAGTTTGTTTCTTGTTCTTCTAGTCCCGAGTATACCCTTCTATTTCTCTCCGAGGTATACCCTGTTCACGTACGCGAATGCTTTTTCTAAACGCATCTTTGCTTTGCAAAGGAAGAAGCGAAAAGGCTTCGAGACGAAAAGTGGCGGCAGTAAAATTCTCGGTAACCGCCACAAATCTCTTCCGCCGCCTTTCCTTGCTTTTTCAGACGCGAACCTAGCAGTGGTACCCTTTTACAGCCACTCTCCTAATCCACTGCGCCCCTTTCCGATACAACTCGAACGATCTATGCGGGTTCGCCCTGGGAGACCGTACGAACCCGCGCGGAATCAACGATCGAGCTACTTTTTCTAGAGGAAAGAAGCTCTAGACTCTTTCCAAGGAATTCCGAAGCGTACAAGTATTCGTTATACTTTTCGATGTCTGATGGTCCGACTTTGGAGCATACGAGTCTTGGCGGTCCTAGAAAACCCGTACCTCGAACTCGAGTTTTCGTTGCGAGATGGGACGTATACCGGATTTTTATCTCGCGTACGGACTTTGCTCCCATAATCCATGAATAAGAATACGCGCGCGCCATTGCACGATGAAGTTGCTAGCAGGTTTTTTTTTCTTCCTATCTCCGCTTCGTGGAAAGTTTGAAAAAGTTTCATCGAAAATTTCGTCCGAGCACCTGAGCTCGCGAACTTGTTCACGATTCTCACGAGCAAGTCGCGCTCCCTTCCTTCTCGAGACGACGGTCTACACCATCCATCCCTTATTCCTTTGGCGTGTACTCGAGAACGAGGAGGGAACGTTGCGTTGTTCGTGTATCGCGACAAGACGATTTTTACGATTACAATCTCGACGTTGCGTGGTTGGTCGTTGCACGTTACGGGACTCGCGTGATGGAATGGGAACGCTTTTCCATTAAACGAAGGTGGACCGCGTGTTTGACGGGCACTTTCGTGCGAGGTTGGATGAAGGGTCGAAGGAGGTAAACGATACTCGAAGCGTGGTACCGTTCGGTAAGCCGGATTCGAGAGATCGAGGAAAGAACTGGACGCTCGGTTTCCCAGCGTAGGTTTTTCTACTCGCGACTTTCCCCCTTTTTTCCACTCGGCGGCACGCGATTGTCCTCGAGGGGACAGTTTAAAGGGTTCGGGGAAAAATTGTAACGCAGCAGCAGCAGCAGCACGAGCAAGTTGCCGTTGAGTAATCACCCCTGCGGAGTTAGTTTCCCCTTGAGAAACGATCGAATATGCAAAATACTTGGCCGAGCGTAGTTTTCTAAACAATTTGGGAAATGGGCACTTGTGACGCGCGTAAAGCACCTAGACATCGTGGATGGGGATGGAACGAGACGAGAACGATCGAAAGATTTCTTTGTCGAATATCGATTCTCAGCTGAAAGAAGGAGATTTTCGAGATAAACATTGACTCGATCCTTCGATTCCCTCGCCGCGCCGGCGCCGTCGTATTCGCGACAATTGACCGCGGTATCGGCAGTTTCAGATGGTCGGGGGCTCGTCTGACAACGTTATATCGTCTCGTATCTGGCAAACAATTTGTTGTCTGCCAGCAAGCCCATTTTCCATCCTTCCACCCCCGTCATCCGTCATATCCGAAGCTTCGTCTCTGTCAAATACCTGTGTCGGCAACCGCAAACCTCTTCGTTCTTTCGACGATCGCGACGACGCGACCAAGACAACGAAGAAGAAAAAGTACGAGGGGGGACATCCGTTTCCGGAAATCACGTCACGTACGAAGTCGCGCCCCGCCTTTGGTCTTTTCTGATTGCTTTTTGAATCGGAAAGCTCCCCCGCTGGTGCGGTATTGAAAATCGAAGCTGCAGGATTTCTGTCCCGGTGAATGTCTTCGTTACCGTGGCTCAACGATTTCGGGGATTCGTTCCGACGCTCGAGGCGCTTCCGTGCTACGACGCGACGCATCGCGTCGTTTTACGCGTTTTACGGGAACGAGCGTGTATGCGTTGCGAGATCTCTCTAAATGGTATGCCGCGTTTCCGGGATAATTTAATTAGTAAGCGTACGAAGCGAAGTGCCAAGTCTTATCCCGTGGGTTTAATAGCGAGCTCTTCCCCGTGTCTGAGTTCGGTTCCCGAGGGACGTATCTTTTCCCGGGAACCGAGTTTCCCCGACTACACGCGCGCCCGCGTCCGCCGGTGATCCACACCGTCGCGGCAAACGAGGAAGCGTCTTCTCTTGTACCGCCACGCCGTTTAATGAATTAATTAACTATTATTTTCCTTGACTTTCGTCTATTCCCTCGAAGGTAGTTTATCCCTTCCTATCGTCGGACTGTCGTTTGCTCGACGGGCATTTTTATCGCTACGATACAATTCGTCCGTTTGGCGAGCAGAGCTACGTGAAATTCGCGTCGAGGCGCCTGACCGAGGCGCTTCTAAGGCGAAACTTTTAATTAAAAAGTAACCATCTAGGACGACGACGTACAGTTGAAACGGTGCACGACAGCCTCGAGCAATTTGCGGCGATATAAAAGTTCTCGATGGTCGTTTCGAAATCGGCGGAAGCTGAGCGACGAGGGTGCGCGTGGTCCTCCTCCTTCGACCCTTACTTTGTTTCGTTCTCGTCGCAGAGCAGAGCAGAGCAGAGACAGGGCCCAACGATCCAAGTCGGCAAAGCATATGTGCGCGCGTTCGATGCTTTCTCGGACAACCATCGACGAGACTTTGCACTCCGTTTCGAAAAGGTATCGATATACTATTGTACTATTCCGGTGTCTTTCACGTAAACCGAACATTTCTACGTCCGGGAAGATCTGACAAATACGCGAATCTGGCGATCAAGGGTAACAATCTCATCGGGACAAAAAGCGTTTCGTTTGATTGTCCATCAACGGCGCCGGCGACGCAGGTGGGGCTGACTGCTCTGCGATGACACAACCCTCCATCGCCAAGTTAAACCAACCAAAGGATTCCCCGTAAAGCAAAGAAGCGCGCAAGGTGGACTCTTTTTAAAGGCTCGCATAGGGTTCCAAGACCCGATCTCGACAACCTGTTCCCAACGGGAAGAAACAAAGAAAAAATAAAACAATGGCTAGTACGAACCGACCGAAGAGATACTTTTCTCTAACTGGCCAGCAAAAGAAGGGTTTCGTCTTCCTTTTACCAAGACCGTACGTTCAATGGCGCGCGGACCATTGGTATATTCTTTTCTGTCTCTACAGTTTCCGTGGACGACTCGATATTTTCGAGTTTCCGAGAGATATCCAATGTCGCAAAAAATTTGGTTAAATAATGTTCCAGGCTGAACGATTTCGCTTCGCGTTTCTCAGTCCGTGCGCAAAGGTCGTTGTAAATCTCCACGCTGTTCCACGCTCGCGCCAGTGCGAAGCCGCTAATGAAAGGGAAAAGGAATTTATCGGCGATATAAATTGTCCCAGGATGTCGGACATCCGGCGGCGCTCGCGATCGATCGCGGTTCCGTGGTAGCCCTTCTCGTAAGGGGCGTAAAGAGCGAAAAAAGAAAAAATGAACCGTCGCCTTTATTGGTTTTCCTTCGGAGACCGTGGGTTTGTGGGTGGAGGGCTGAGGTTGGTTTTAATTAGGCGATCCGGGATCGGAAACGTTGGTCGTGGTCGATGCGGACGGCGAACGAGTCGAGAGATCGACTCGGCCGAGCTTGCGGGGGCGTTCGTACGATTCCTGGGTGCCGTAACGAGCTCTCGTTAGGGCCGCGATCAGATCAAATGTTCCGTTTGATACCGACAAACGAGCAGTCGCGCGACCATTCTCGACCGTTCGCGGTTTCGCGAATGCAACCCCGGGTTCGACGAGCCGTTACCGACGATACGTCAACCTTCCGGTGAACGACTACGTGCTACAAACAGTTCTTTTTCTTCCCACTCGTAACGTTTTACTTGCAACGTTCGAACTTTTTTCTCCGTTCATGGCGTTCTCGTCGATTTATCAGCGTTGAATTAAATTTCGATCGGCTTCCGTAACCGTGAACTTGGCAACCGGTGTCGTTGCGATGTTTCGAAATTCAATTTAAATGCAAGCCAGTCAATTTCATACGCCGATATTGACGCGTACGTATAAGCAAAAGGAGAATACATTATCCCTATCTCGGCGTAGCATCTGTAAGCGGCGGCAAACGTGTTTCGTATCGAGCAGCGCGTCACGGTATTAAGAGATCCGCGAGGTATTCGTAGGAGAAAGTCATAAAAAGGCAAAGAAAGTAGGTTACGGCGCCGTATAAACGCTCGCTTTTACGATAGGAGGAGCAAGGGTTGCTTACTTTGGTAACTTTGGAGAACTTTCGGTGCCGTGAAACCATGTTCGGAGCAACAATCGTCGGCAACGCGAGCAAGTAGTAACGGAAGAGAAGTGGTAAGACACGCTCGTAAAAACAGATTCGATAAAAATAGTTGCATCTCGACATCGCGATACACTATTGTACATAAGTGGTATTCCTGGACTGCGTATTGCGAGAGTTAATCGCTGAATTTCGAGCAAGTTTGTTCGCGTATCTTTGTGCAAACACATTTCTTGGATAGCTTGAGATACACGCACGTATACGACGGCGAAGCCACGTTCCAAAGAATTTTAACGTCGATTACACCTAATCTTTGCTCGTCCGAGCACTCACCTGATGATGTGCTGATTGGTAGATTGCAGCAAAATGGTGGTATACTTGGTGATGAGCATCTTTTTCCACGAGAGCTTAGGAAATCCAGAAATCCACGCGTAACGTGAAACTTGGACGGCGAGGACGAGCCGGTCCCGCACTCGTTTCGCATAAATCGCCCCTACGAAAATCGAGCAAAACCGTTCGCGAAGCAGACGACCGCGTGGATGCCACGGAAATTCTTCCGGCTATATTTAGCGGTCATATTTCCAACGCGCGCAAAGCGATCCACCCGGTTCTTCGTTTCTTCTTTTAAGACGTTCGCATCGGTATTCACGGCCAAAACTTTAACGTCACCGACTCTGCTCGGCGATCTTGGCTGTTGGTCCCTTGGCAAACATGCAGCTGTTCCTTGGAATGGAGATTCGATTCCCTTTCGATAAAATGATGAGTTTTTGTTGCGATCTTCCTCGTCCAGTTCCTTCGAAACTTGTAAATCTTGCACAGAGTCAACGAAAAAGTTTTTTTCTTTTCGCGCGTTGCATTGAAAATCACAAATCGAGGAGATTACTTTTAAACCATCGCGAAACAATTGGCGAAAAGATAGATACTTGACTCACTTGGGTCGTGTTTGTCGATCGAAAGATTCATCGCGTCGTGACAAACGATCCTCCGGCGATCCATTCCACGCGGGAGACGGCGGCAGGTGACGGGAGTCGGTACGCGTCGGCGTCGTTCGCGTCTGGCAGCTCGGTAGGAAACGATTCGCTCGATAAGCATTTCTTGGATGCGGGCTTAATCGGTGTCAACGAAGAACAGGCCTCGCGCGAACGATAAACAATCTCGCTCGGTTTATCGATGACGCCCGGACTTTTAAAAACTACGGACTGCAAGGCGACGCGACGTCGCCTGACTTTCCTCGACGAATTTTCAAACACCCCGAGTAACGTCCCCACCGAAAGTTCAGCGATACCAACGTGTAGCAGCTCGGTTTGTTCGTTTCGATTGATCTGGATTCACCGTTCGGTTCGGAAGGGCTCAAGATTATCGCGAGATGCCTCCAGCGAATGCTCAACCGCCTTCCGTTCGCGTCTCACCGGCTCGAATTGATTTCATGCTCGATCGCGCTCGAGTCTGGGTCATCAGCAGTAACTTTCGAACATGCTCGAGCCTCGGAAACACGCAGGTACGACGACGACAACGACGACGACGACGACGACGGCGACGACGACGCGGACATTCGAGCAACCTTCGGGCTGCCACAGTAGCAATCGAGACGTTGTCCGCGTCGAGAATAGTCATCGCTTGCCCAGGATTGGAGTTCGATCGTTCTCGGACGGCATCTTTCTTCTCTTCGAGTGCATCGTTTGGATATGTCGTTGCGCGTATCGTCTAGCTCGCGTGCTCGCGAGGTCAGCCTTTTAAACGAAGCGTTATCTCTCTCTCTCTCTCTCGACCGGGTTCTCCAACGACTAACGCTATCGTACAAGGATCGACCAACGCCCCGCGTGTTGCAGTCAAGTGGACACTGTTTGGATCGTTTGTTCGGCTAGGTCCTAATAGACGTTAACGTCGAAGCGTTCGGAAGAGTTTGCAAAATTCGGGTGACCTTGACCCAGGTTGAGGTTCATGGAGGAACGGTCCCCGAAGATTCCGAAAATGTTGGTTCGAGTGGAACTTCGATGGTACCGCGACGATGATTATTTATAGACGAGCCAGACAAAGAGATTCGAATGTGCTGCCTGGCTGCCGGTCGCGAATGGACTGGCTCCACGTTCCTTAAACACTATAGCTGTGGCTGCACTGCGTGGACTTTAGCTGCACGGGGCTGCTTATGCGCCGCCTATAGTCCGCCCGTAGCGGGATATCTTGGCTGGAACCTGGCTCGAGAAGTGTTTCGAGAGTGACGAAGCGGCCGAAGCCGAAGGTTCCTCCGTTCCGCGTTCGAGGGGCCACGTGTGCGTTCGGTTGTTCGGTGCATACACCCGGTCAAGCCGTGCGCAAGGGGACTGCACTCGCGAGTGCGCACTCTGGAGTCACACTGGCAGAGGCACGTAGGCAACCTGGAAACCGTGGGATCCCTGCTGGCTTGCCTGCTTGCCTGCTTACCTGCCACTAAAGTGGGGGTGATAATTTCTTGAGACGCGAAGCGATGGATCTCGCTCGTTTGGTCACCGAACAGACTCCCGCTCGACCGGAAACGCAGACTCGTTTTCGGGAAGAATTGGCGTTTTAGCGCCTCAAAGCATTTCTTCGAAATTCGACGATTTCAATCGATCCAATTGCGGCGACGCGACGCGACGTATACGGCAAGAGAAATGTAAACGCAGTCGCACCGTGGAAAACTTCGGACATATTAAAAACATGGTCGCGATTGTTCATTGTATGCTAACGTTGTGCAATTTGCGATGCAATTTGCACCACCGTGTTTTTCTCGCGTTTCATTCATCCCGGTCTCTTTCGCGGTTACCGCTCATTCGGTGGTATTCGCTCGATAAACGACCACCAACTTCTTGGCCGTCCCTCGTTTTTCTACTTCCTGTCCCCGTAACGCCGATGGAGCATCCGAGCCTCTCGGCTTCTCCGAAGCGTAGCCATCGGCGTCGCTTCTGAATCGGTCCTCGCCTCCTCGCATCCTGTCCGGGTGTCTTGTTCCATCGCGAAGCGAATCTCCCTCGCCAAAGGGGAAATTCAATTAGGTGGAAAGGCTTCGTCTCGAATAAACGTCCGACGCTTCGTTTATGAGTTGTTCGACGCGACGCCTCGCCCGTAAGCTGCTCTCGATAACAACTCCGCAAAGAGACATGTTGCTTTTAACCCCCAAGTCGTCGTTGTCGTTTTCGTCGTAAGTGGATAACGCGATAACGAATACTAAATTGGCATCGCCGCATCTTTCGAAGCCGGTGTAAGTAGTCTTGTTCGGGTCTAGGTCGTTTGGCTAATAGCGCGTAAGCCCTTGGTATTATACGCGTATTATACGTTCACGTGGCGTTGCGTTGGCTGGTCAGTCGCCTCGAGTCGTCTTTACTCGTTTCGAAGCGTAGCGCCAAAGGTGATGGGATGTTTTCGGTCGATAGGTTAATCTGTTTCGAATCGCATAGACGAGTATGTATGTATGCATGTGCGTAGCAAGCTACGCTACCGTTGGCTTGACCAGAAAAGGAAAACGAGAAAAGCGAAACTGAGTCGAAGAGGAAGAGTCTGGTTCAGAATGGCATCGTACCATCGCGGCACGGAGATCTTCTAATTGCTTTCTCGGGACGATTAGCGAACAAAGAAGGCACAGTGGGACGGCTATTTGTGGAAACCGGCCAACCGGCGAAGCGGTTACGCTCGACCTTCAGCGGTCGACAGCCAGAGCTCGGAGAACGGCTCCCGGTTTCTCGCGAAGGTTGCGCCTTCCATCTCGTCCATTGCGTCCTCGCGTAGCCGTCGCCGTCTCCGTCGCGATCGCTCGTCCTCTTCCAACCATTTTTTTCCGGGATCCTGTTTTGCCTGATCCTCGAGGAGAAAACAATCGCCGGGGGTACTTTCTGTTTCTAGTTGATGCCGGGAAGGCTGACCGTCAGTATCCTCGCGACGATCCAAGAGGATTTCGACGACGCCGATTAGTCGAGAACGAGAACATGGTTTATCGTAGAAGAACACGTTTAAATAAATGGTAATCTTTCGACTGTGAAAAATCCGGCATTTCGTTCGTCCTCGAGTCCGTATCCTTCTATTTTTCGTGTATTCTCTTTGCTATTTACGCGACTCCTGTTCCTCGAGCGGAACAGAGTTTTTACATTGTTAAACGGGAAATTCTGAACCGAGTGGTTTAATGCTGTTCGAGGGCCAGATCTCGCGATAAACCTCTTCTTTCCCTCCCGATTCTGCAGCGACGCGAGAGAAAAAAAGGTTTCGCTCGTAATGGCGCTGCGTGGGATCGCGCAGACTTTCTCGTCCAATACTCCGGAGGGCGAATCGACCGTTGTAATGCCGTGGCTCGCGTAATTACAAAGTTCTCGAACGAGAGGTTAATCGTCAAATTTCCCGGCGATCGAGCTCGATTAGAATGGAAATACGAATTACGAGCTGGAATTGCACATGTCCTACCGAGCAAACGCGTCGAGCGAAGCGAACGTGTGATTTTTGCGATGAACGAGCGAGCTCGAAGCGTGGATTAAATATAGGAAACTAGGCGAGGGTCGATTTCAACCCTCGTCAAACGATTCTCTTAACTATGTTTTACGTATCGGCGAATTTCTCTTGCCGGCATTATCGCAAACAACTCCCGTTGAACGCAAATCTACGTACTCTTGTTAATTAGATCGAGACAAGTACGGGTTCAAACAGTTAATTATTCCACGGTGGTTTATAAAACCACCATCGATCCATGATCTAAAAGTCTACGAGACTCGTCTCGGCTAACAACGACAACGAAACCAATTCGCGCCCACCGTTGCTTCTCTATTCTCTCGTCGGATGAGATTGGCCGTACGCGAACGTCTTAACGCGAACTGAATTATTTACAACGCGTGGCGTTACGTCGCGACGTTGCAAAGATCCGGCGCGGCTTTTTCGTCGGAATCCTCCTGGGAAACGTTCCGGTGCGGGTACCGCGTGTACCGCTCCTCTTGAAACGCAACGGATTATCTCGAGCTATGATATACAATCTCCATAAATCGACGAGTAAGCGCCGCCTCTTTTTCCGGCTTTCACCCTTCTCGGTGTCACGTAAGAGTTATACGCAACTTTGGGATGGTGATTTTCGCGTTCGATAATCGGATGCGTTTGTTTCGATCGTACGCGGCGACGACGGCGTAGCTTCTCTTTTTGTTCTCTAACCCGAAGCTGCGCGGCCGACGCGCCGCGCCGTGACCGTCTTAATATAGAAAAAAGAAAGTGTCACCCCTCGAATTTACGAGGGTTGCCGGCCCTAACTTCCGTGAATTCTTCCAAGGTGAAGGGCGGTAGGGATCAAGGACGAAAATATAAAGGGATCGCAGCGGTCGAAAACATTATCGCCCAGGAAGAGACCGCGAAATCGTTATCTTTCATTTTTCACCTCATAACGTCGGCGTCGGGACAATAACGCCCCGGGCCGGAGCATTGTCGACGGCAAGGTAAGCTCGCGATGCTCCTTTTGAAAGAAAGAATAGGACGAAGAAGACGCGGAGATTTAACTCTTCAGAAAATGAGTGTCTCAAAAGAAAAAGCACTATTATTGTTACGATTAGCGAATATACGAAGCGTACCGCGATGCGAACGCGGCAGCGGTTTCCGCTCGTTTTCGACTACGATCCGCGTTATCTCTCTCTCGCAACGATCCACGCTGTGGGACAGGGTATCGATCGATTCCCTCGCCACGTTTAGCTTATCGGGGTTGCAACGATATCGGTAGCCTCGCGTCAACCTGGACCATGCCAGTCGCCGCGACGGCGACGCGTCGGCCGTCGATATGGCGTCCGCGTGGGGTGCAACGGCACCGACGCACCCCCAACGGAGCTATTGTGGCCAGTGACAAAGACACGCGCTTCGTACACCTCGAGTTTCGAACTGACAGAGCCGTGGGGCCAGTCGGAAAGTGGAAGGAGCACGCGATACAAAGAGAAACGAGAGAACGAGAAGGTAGAACACTCGCGCGTGGCAAGAGCAACCCACTCGCATTGTAAAACGTCGAATCGATTTTTCCCCCGACCCGAATCCCGGGACCGCGACGCGTCGCTCGAACGAGCGCTTTTGTAAATGGTGTAAATTGAGCGAGTAAGACGGGCGGAAAAGGGACCGTGTCTCCCTCGGGCGTTCCGAGAAAGTGCATTAGCACCGTGGAATAGCAACGAGAGGAGGTTCTCGATCCTAGGCGAACGGAGAATCGATCGTTTTCTCGGACCAAACGAATAAGTAAAAATATGTCGGTATCGGAGCGCGCGTTTCAGTAACGCGTAAATAAGCAACGATCCAGATGCGCGTATCATCCGCACTAACGACTCCACCGATGAACGGTTACCATAAAAAAAACCTGACCCGATCGACGGCTATCAAACTAATTTGACATACTTACGAATACACGTGAACCCATGATATCTAGTTAAACTCCAGTATACGACTCTACGTTAAACACGTTCGAGCAGTATTCGAGCACCATTCGGTAATTCACCTTTTTCTTCTAGAATCGAGAAGACCGATGACCACGTCGCAGAGGACCAACATCGTCAACCCTCGACGAATCCCGCGCGTTTCAGCGTCTACGGAAACGTATACGCAAGCTTGCCACTGTCGCCGAAAAACCAAGACTGTTTCAGGAACGGTGCACGATTCCAGAAACGCGACATGTCCGCGATAAACGCCGACCAAGAGGGATGGATCGGACGGACCAAAGATGTTTCAAAGACGAACGACACGCGACTGGACAGTGCACCGCTGCGCGGGTACAGTGCACTCGACCACTCGCGGTCTAACATTAGACAAAAACAGAAATAGACGATAATTTTCAAATTGGAGGGAGGACTGACACCGGGGGATGGGAAGCACGAGAGATGGAAAACGACCGAGTCCGCTGGAAATGAGCCAAAAGAACGGCTGGGAGGTGGTGGGATACGTTTCGGACGCGCGATTTTCGGAAACGCCGATGACGCGGCCGACGCCGACGCTTGCCCTGTTCCCAAGAAACGTCCAAAAAATTGTTCCTTGTAATTGTAATCGATATCGAACCACCGGTGCCGATGACTTTCTTTGCATCGAATAAAGTTTCATTCCTCGTTGCGGTTGCGTGTCTCTTGTAAAATCGTACCAGGAATGAAAAGCGAGTTGTAACGCAATTTATCGTTCTCCCGGTACTTGGTTCAATTATTCGCGAACGGTGGATTGAAACGCGCCGTGAGCGGCGCCGGCGCCGCGCTGAATGGAATTAAGAACTAGTCGAAACAAGTCAAGTCCGTCGTTGTTGTTGGTTTCCAGAGCTCTCCAAATACTCTTGTTATCTCGATGAAACCATATTCTTTTAAATGAATTTTTCGATGCCATTCGATTTCGCTTTCAAACGTGCTTCAAATAGCTTTTAAATGCGCGAGTCAACGTGGACCGATAGCGACGCGCTCTTGCAAACCACCGAGTTTCTCATTTAACTTGATATTCGGCGGCCGAGTTCGTTTCTCCGGTTCCCTTTTTCTTGCCTGGCCGTTTATCGTTCTCGGAGAAAAAGTTTTTGATCGAGGAGCGGTTGGTCGATTCGGCTATTCTCAAGAGAGATTTGTTTGAATCCGTCGCGGCCGAGTACTTGATTCAAAATTTAATTAGGAAAGAAAACCAATTACGCGATTCTATAAGAGGAGTTGCCTTTAGTCACAAAGGTTTCTCGTTTGAAAATCGGCTCGAAGGAATACTGTGAACGCGTCGCGTCGGGGGGTTCCGTTATCCTGTTCCTGGTGCAAATTAGTATTCGTTTGCGTACCGTGTCGCATGAACGCACACGCAGACAGGATCGCGCACGAACGAGTACGCCCGGCCCCGATGATCCTGCAAAGACCGAACCACCACGGTGGACCGGCCCCCTCTTTTGCCGAAACAAACCCGAAAGTTGGCGCAATTGCCGGGAACAATGCACGAGTTGGACCGGCAATGCTCCGGCATTGTTTTCGCCTCTTTCGGAATCCGCTCGAACGCGCCTCGTTGGAGCTCTTTTCACAATTATCCACGATAAGCGTGCAAACGCAACAACGCGAAAAACTTGAGAAGCTCGCTTTCCCTAGAAAGTCGCGGTAATTAATACGAACGCGTGGTAATTAGACGGAGCTGACTCCGCGATAATTAACCGGAACGACTCGGCCGAGTTTAAAACTATTCGTACCTCGGACAGAAAGGTATGTGTATGTACGCTCAGGTTATAGCGTTTAACGAGTAAAATAGCGGATGACACTACGAGTCTGCGATTTCCGATATCTTTCCCCTCATCGGAACTCGCGTTGCGATTCGTATCAGGATCGCTTTACCAATTGTACATAGTACTTTCGTTAATTATTTTTTCGAAATAATTTCTTCGAAAAAATTCCTTCTTTTATTCGATTATTCTATCGATAATTTCGTTTGTATTTTACTTTAACGCATCTCCGATAACAAAGTGTCCGACCGGTCGATATCATCGGTGGTTTCGGTGGTTTCGTTATCGGATGCAGTCGTTGCACGTTTACTCACCGTTTCGTTTACTTTCCTCGTTTAATTTACAAACTACGTTGCAATCGCAATTTGGCATTCGCGAATCGTGTCGGGAATACGAACGCACGATGAGATAATCTCACCCTTAACCGTTTAACCGCTGTTCGGTTAAAGTCACTGACGATATTGTTATTTTCAAATTGAAACGTGCTCGTTTCCACAGGTATAAAATAATAATTAACAGACGTTCGGGAAATATGGTCAGGCCAGACAAATGTCATTTATCCGTTTCAGGCTGGATAGTAAAGTGGCTTCCGCAACCGATGCGCGATTATTCGCGTTTCCAGTTTCGCGTTTCGACGTGTCACTTGTCGAGACCAGCCATTATTTCGGAGTCCGTGTCTCTGGCAACAGGTGAACGGCTGCAGACGACACCGAAACGAAACGAATCGAATCGAATCGAATCGAGTATGTTCGTCGTTCTCAGTTTCGTGAATGTCAAACTTGACGTGGACGTGAATATCGGAATTATTGGATAGTTTGAGCACGCATTCGTCTAATTTCGAGATTCTCGCGTTGATGGATTCGATTTCAACTATCGTGGCATCTGCGCTCGGGAGAAATGGAATTGGCATTTTTCGATAGATAAAATTTACAATTTTTACCACTTTTAGCAGATCTTGCTCGACAAAGTGAATCGATAAATAAATAAATAAAATCTTTTCTCGCATTCGTTACAAATACCTTTGTAACTTTCGTTTAAAGCTGCAAAGATTCCAAGCTTGTTCGACGAAGAGGGCCTCGTAGCAGGCGAGAAATTAAATTCACCGAAAGTAAATCGAATTTACCCGCACCACGGGACCAAAGGGTCTAACGAACCAAAAAATCACGTTGCTGCGCGTCCGCCAAGGAGAAGAGTAAGACGCAGCGGAAGGGGTCGTCGACGACCAACAAGGATTAAAATGAAAATCATGATCCGAATGACTAAAAGGAGGAAAAATCAAACAAATTTCTCGTCGTTAAAGTTGTTTGCAACGAATGTTGGAGTTGAAAGGTACGGTAAACTCGAAATTTCAACGCTTTATATCGATGGATTCAAAGGTGACGAAACGCCTGGACCAACGAGGTACCCAAGATTCGATTATCGAGCGGTTTTTACGACGACCGGAACGTCAACCTGATGCGATATGTATTTAATCGCGGTCGTTCGCCCGATTCCCGCGCGGAGGATCGCGCGGGAACCCGAGCGGAACGATAACCGCGATAACTCATCTTTTTACTCGCAGCGACAATCGCATCCTCCTCCGCCATCGTCATTTTTCCCCTTTGGGTTCTTCCGTGCCGTTGGAGGAGAAGAAAGACCCGCGTTTCGTTGAATTTTCGCGCACGCGAGCGATTTTATGCCACGACGCCGACGCGTGTCTCCGCGCCATAAAGGTTTCAGGGTTAAATTGGAGAACGGGCAGAAAGGGAGAAGAAAATTGCCGAGGGCATGGATCCGAGGTGGCAAAGTAAAAGAGCCGGGCGGATGAAGTCGACCCTCTGGATTAGTTCTCGACCAGCAGGGCATTCCGCTAATCGCGTTCCAAGTTTCAGTGGAACTGGCTGTTGGACCGACAAAGCGTAATCATCCCAATTACGTTTCCCAATAGCGAACCAGTAGTTTCGTCCACGAGGAAGTGGTTTTCTTCGTCCGGCGATCGTCGCGACTTGTCGACTATTTCATCATATATATGAAAAAAAAAAAAAAAGGGGCTAACGAGTTAATCTGTAATCATCCGCGGACCAAGTCAACGTAGTATCAACGTAGTACTCGACCCACTCTTTTCTCTTCGTCGGCGTCGGCGAGGTAACGAAGCGCAAAAAATTAATGGACCGTCCTTGCCAGATAAATGACGAAACGGCATCGTTCCGAATATTAGCGAATTCGGAGGCGACAGCGCCAATTATCGCGTCGATTTTATCGAGTACAGCAGTTTTAACAAAATTCACTTTCGATGCGTCGCGTCGTTCGCAGTAATGGTCGCGAAACGATAGGTACGATTCGTCTACCGCTATAAATTCCTTTTCCCCTCGTGTCGGTTGTCTGGCCCTGGTTTTGGCCCTGTTCAACGAGGGGACCCAGGACTCGAGGCCAGATTCCAGCACGGATCCCATCCGAATCGGATTCGTATAAATTTCAGTAGCCCGCAAAATTTCGCAGCAACTCGACTCTGCTCGATGGTCGGCTGCTGGACCTGACTCCTATGAAGTTACGGTAAGCGTTTCAACAGTTTCCTTTGGATCGAATATGTATACCATATCGAGAGCGCGCATTTGCGACTCGTTTTGCGACACGCGCTATACTTGAAGTGTATCCCGGCTTGATGCGATCCATATTCCGTTGTGTATTCATAGGTCGGAGAGGCGTAATCGCGACATGTCAGACAGATATTTGCGCGACTCGTGCGCGAAGCGATACACCAGCTGGCGTTGACGTATGCCGCGCCGCGCCGGAAATGAAACAATTGTCGGATTTCCGACGACAGGAGGATCGGACAGATTTACGCAGTCTCCGCAGAATCGCCTCGCTTCTTCTTCGCGTGTACCTCGAACCAAACGACGAGGAAACGTTCCCTTTTCGATAAATGGGAAACAAAACGCGCCTAAAACCCACGCAGCATCTACGATCGAAGAAAAATCTCGCGACGCGAGGCGACGGACAGGCTAGAATCTATTATCGGTAGAATTAGCGGCGCCTGGGGGCACGTATTTCGGCGACACACCCTTTGTCTACGGCTAACGATACGGGGCGGTCGGATAAGGGTTGCGTAGCCGTGTACGCGCGGTAGCTCCCCTCGCAAACATCAGACTCGCGTTAGTCGTCAGAAATCAGGGGGATATCCGGTGGCAGCCGGAGAAACCATCCTGGGAGAATCCCCGCGGTGCTCTTCTACTCTCTTGTATCGTGTTTCCCGATAATTCGATCGGCGCGGTGGCGTTCGTTCCATGTCTGAGTCGGCTGGCTCGCACCCTTGGATCGTTCGAGTCCGTTTCTTCTCGCGATAGGAGAAAATTCAGTTCCAGTCCGAGCGACGAATTCGCTGGTGTTTCTTTCGGGTCGGGTAAGTCGAGGGATGCAAACAAAGAGAAAGAGGCTGCAAATTGTTGTAAACTAGGGAACCTCTGGTACTTGGGATAAAATCGATTATCTACAATAACTTACGCTACTCGATTAACTAAACGTGGAAACGAGTACGCGCACGCGCACGCGCAGCATCGATTACAGCATTGGAGCCGGTTAGGTTGTCCGAACTCGCTCGGAGACGACAGAGCGTCGAAAGTGAAAACAGGAAAGGCAGGATCGTAGACGGAACGAAAAGAATGGCAGCGTTTCAACGAGGCTGAACTTTTTAGCGAGATTACCGACCGATAATAATTCAACCGCGTAGCTGCGGCCTGGGGATGGAATTTCATTTCAATTCCACTCTCCCACCTCGCCGGGAACGCGGTTCGCGTTCTAGGGGTTTGTAAGCGACAGTGGCGCGGGACTGAAAATTTGCCAGAGACCTCGAAAATTCCCGATCGACTGTTTCTATCCTCTCGATGTCGACGCCAACGCGAACGCATTATTTTACTGGATATTTTCGTACCGTTAGACCGCGCGCAGACGTGTATGCAACGCAACGCAACGCAACGCAACGCAATGCAACGCAGAACGCCCTTTGCGTGGAAGATTGAACGACGAGCCGACAAACGATAAATACTCGCGGAATTAGCATTTTCGCGAACAAACGAGCCAATTGCCGGCATGTGTCCAGGATCAGCGTCATAATATTATGCGTAATCGCTTTTGGTTGCCAGCTGCTTGCCGTTTCTTGCCGCTAGACGAACACCATCCGCGCAACCTGGAACCTCTTCTAATATCCTTCGAGTACAACGACCGCGCTCTTTTTGTCTTCGAAGGGTTGCCACACGATGCCGAATTTCTTGCGATAACGAGATCGAAAATGTCCCATTTGCTCGGAAATATCATTTCAAATTCCGTATAGCGAATCGCTTTCATTATCGTCGAAACGTAACTCCGGTAAGAGTTTGACAACGATTCGAAGCTGTCAACGCGGCGAAAAATAAAACCAGCGAGATGATATAAATTTCGAAAATGGGCGCGCGGTTAATCCGACGAAGCGGCCGTTACAAGGTATCCTATATACATACATACCGTGGCGGATACCGTAGGCAAAGTCTCCCATAGATCACTAGAAAGCCCTTACGATATGGAAATTATTCCGCGTTCACGCGACCACGAGGCGTCGGGAATATTTCCATCGTAAATTACAGGAATTGGTGATTTAACCGTTGCTACGCGAAAGGGGTTGGCAACGATGGTTGCTCAACGGTGTCACCCTGTTCGAGAATCTACGCGATGTAGCGCCTTTCTTTGATTAGGACCCCTATAACGAGCTAAAAAATGTTCTCTCGAAACGATATCTCGAAACGAAGAGAGAATACGTCAAGGTGTGTACGGAGAGTCTAACGACGCTCGACTAGCACCGTTCTTGACCTCGAGAACACTCCGAAAAGCAGAAGAAGAACGAATACTCACCGCTCGTAGGAATTTGGAGTCGTGCAGAGCTCGCTCAGCATGCAATCCAAATCGGTCGCCAGGGAATTAAGCAGCTGAAAGAGAAGCAAAAAGGGTTAGGGTTAGGGCTGTCGAAGCACACCTCGCTTCGCAGCGGTACATCGATCGTGTTTAACCGTTTAACGAGTACGCGTAAAATGAAAAGATTCGTTTCGCTGGAATTACAGCTCGCAAGGATAGATACAGCGTCGCGAGGTTTGCATTGTACAGCGAATGCCCTCTGTATTTGCATTGTATCGCCGAGTCGGAGCCCGGAAAATTAGAAGGTTTCCATCCGGAGGCACTTTCGCAAAGTCAATATTGAACGCGGAGAAAACGTCCGATAAAGTTTCACCGTTCAAGACGAAGGCGGTATCGAGTACGGTAGCAGAGGTAGCAGAGGTAACGTCTTGCTCGATTCTCGATGCTTTTATATCTACTCCCGATCGGATCGCGACACCTTTCTCGGATCGAATATCTTTCTCGCGAACCGTCGCGGCCAGTTAACGCTCGAATCCAGAAGTAAACGATGTATTTCGAAAAAGAACTGCTCGCTTCGGTCGCATTTTTTCGAGACTCGACTCGCCAATGCCCGCTGCAATAATGCGATACAACCGAGTGTAACGCCCATTCTCGAGCGCAATTTAAATACCACCAGAACCCTTAAAGGGTCATCGTGAGAATGTAATTGCAATTCGACCCTAACCCTCGCCTCGGTTCACAACCCTCGCTCAACTCCGCGTCGACGTCGGCGTCGGCATCGGCGTCGCGGACAGCGATCCATCGATATCGAGTCCAGTCGTGTCACGAGTACGTCATTCCTTTCAACGAATCTCTCTTGAATTTCAAACGGTTAATTCGTTTCGATTCTATTCAATGTCTTTGAAAATTTAACGCGATCCCTTCGATTTGGGAATATTTAGCTTGCACGCGCAACTCGGTGGTGTACGCGTATTCGGTGTGAGTCATGCGAGCAACCAACCATGAAACCCTACAGGACGCTGGTTAGATATTCCAGCTGCCGAACCTTTGCTCGCAAACCCGATGGAAATCGATGGAATCGCCGAACCAACGAGAAGGCTGAGGGTAGACCTTGGAATTTGTAAACCGTCCTCGAGCGTTTCCGCCGAAAACTGTTAACGCGATATGTACGATGGGCTGTTTAAAAATATAATAAATAAAAGGAAACGATTCCACTAGCCTAACGGACACGGATAAATGCACTCGCGACGAGAGCGTTCGAGTATGTCCCTGTTCAAAATATGCATCGTTCGAACATCATTTTCATCTTTGTTCTACGTTTACGTTGTATGTTAAGTAGGTCGCTGCTTTTTAAAAATAACCCCCAAGCAGAAACCAAAAGTATACCCTCGAGAGAATAAACACTATGTAAAAAGGGCACGGGCGACCGTGACATAAACGCGTATAGAACTCGCGATACACATGGTCACGTACGGAAAATTTGAAAAGCGTTCGCATAAAGGACCGGTGCAACCGCGTCATTCGGCTATTTGCAAAGCAAGAATAAGCTCGACTGCTTCGTCGCGAGTCCGGCCGTGGCCGAGTTAGCGGGATTTTCAATCTGGAGCTTTTCAACCCCTATGAAAGATGCAGGGACGATTTTCGTGTCCCTGGCCAAAATACGCGATTCGCTCGTTTTTTTTTCATTCTAAACTCCACGATCTTCGTTTTAGATAGGTCCAAAGGTCTCCAAGTGGTTCTCGAGGTAAGAGGTTATTCGTTGCAGCGAAGGTCGCGTCGACGTCGCTTCGAAGATTGAAATACGGAACGCTCCTCCTTTGCCAATTCTTTGAAAACATTCAAACACGTACGTTACCGCGCGAAAGCCTCGGTACACGCGTCCACGATTAAAACGCGCGACGGTCCAAGGGCAGCTCCGCTGAAAGCTGAAGAAAAAGGAGGCCATTGGAAGAGCAAACGCGACGCAACGACATGGCAGCGCGCTTGAATTAAAATGGCCCGCTGAAACTCATTCCCCGAATTAAACGGATTAGATCCAATCAGCACCGGCCGCTGTCGTTGCTGCTGCGCAACACGTTGTACCATCGTCGCCGTGTTTAATTCAATTCCGTTCTTTGTTTAATTAAATTCGCTGACGGGGAAGAATACGCGCCATGGAGCAAGATTTCGACGACGAATCGATTACATTTTTCACGGACATCCGCGAACGCGATTAATTTGGTTC